TGCACTTCATGTCAAAACTTTATGTCACTATTCAATGAGAATGTTTTTTTTCCAAAGGTTTAAATCTTCTACAGATGCTTATATTTTTTCATTGGAGAGTTTATATTCCTTGTTTCTAAAAAGGTTATATACAGTTTATGTATTTTAGGAAACGTTATTTTGCAGTCTTTCATAATGGTTGAGTTACCCTCTCTAACCACCAGGTGGAGCTCTAGCATCATCAAAGCATTAAGCTCATCAAGGAAACAAATTAAATTAAAGATTGAGGTTCTGTAGTAATACTAGGATGTGAAGTGTGGGATATTTCAAACATTTTTAATCGTACAGTTCTAGATTCCACTCACCAGCTGGAGAGTCCTGCTGGTCCTCTGGGTCAGTTCTGTTCTTCCTCTTTGCTGTAAATCACAGTTTAAACTGGGATTAAAACACCAGCAAATCTCTGTAGATGATCATGAATATAATATGACCATTATAAAGATCCAACCATTGATACTGAAGGACCATCAGAACAATCCTGATCACCTCTCTGATTCTTTAGGATATGAGGTTCTGCTGGAATCTGGTTCTGAGCTTCCAACAGCAGATCCTGTAGGTTCTGGAAGGTGGGGGTTAGAGATCCTGATTTAAAGTCTCTCATCGCACCTCCATTCAGTGACAAATTGTCATGGTAACCAGGTAATCAATCGGTTGCCATAGTGCTTTAAGATGGTCAGTTTCTGAACCGCTCTTTGATGTAGAAGAACTTAACTAATCTCTAAACCCTCCTGTTCCCAATGGGTTCCGGATCCTGGAGCCCAGCAGGGTCCAGAACCCAGAACCGCAGTGTTTCCCATTAATGAACAAGACGGTGGCGGTACTCCACAGTCTCGTTTGGGCCCGCCACAGTCTCATACAGACACAGAGAGAGAGAAAACAACAACAACAAAAAGATCTGTCAGTTTATCAGAGCGTTCCACAGCTGTACTTTCATACCGCCCGTATCCCAGCGCCATAGAGAGACTAATTGTTTTTTCTCACCCTCCTTTATAAAAATGCCGCCCCGGCTGCCGGGTTAGCCAGTGTCGGCAACTCAGCGACTTTGTCGCTATATTTAGCGACTTTTCAGACCCTTCCATCCACTCTTTTTCAAAAAAGCAACTAGCGATAAATCTAGCGACTTTTCTGGTGTCACTGGCGCCTTTAAGAGACTCTCAGGTGAAAGCACATATTGTTCCTACTCTTGTCCTCCAGCAGCAGCTGCTGCCGTGGGGCGCCTCCCCCGCCCCAACCCCGTTCTCCCGCTTCCGCAGGAATCCCTCTCTCTCAGCGCAGCAGTCAGAGCCATAGCATGTTTACCCTCAGGATGTAAATGTAAAATGTTATTTGGTCTAAAATAAATGACTGAATTTGAAATGTTTTATCTTAAAAATGGCATTTGATTCACACAGCAACAGTCCCTTAATCAACTTGTCCATTGTTTTTTCCTCTCCAAGATAAAAAAAAGTGGCCTCAAAAATGCACTTAAATGGAAACGCTGGTTTTCTTTTTACATTGGTCCCTTGATTTTACGTTATTACATCATGTTCTACTCACCCATATAAGTTTTGTGTCATTTGGAGCTGTTCTGAAAATATTCAGTTAGGTTATATCCAAGTAAGGTCTTCCTATGTGCAACGACTTGAAGGCACAAACTAAACTGTTCATAATTTATTCTTTATGGTATGCCAGCATTCATAACATGTAGGTGAATCACTGTCCCCCAGACATCTGCAGTTATATTTATTATATTTATATTTTTTTAGAACAAAGCAGGTGTGTATGACATCGTCCGCACGCCGGACTGGAGTTGTGACAGGCAGCCCGGGCCACAGGCGGCTACGCTCTACTCCTTCTATTCATTCAGCTAGCTAATCTGAATCGTTCAATAGGGGGTTTTCAGTGACGTCACTGGCCAGCTCCCGGTCCGCCATCTTGGGTGGCATATTATCGTATATTAAATATATCATGTCGCGAATGGATAAGTACGCCAGCTCGCTAGAGCCACCAGATCATGGAACATATCTGAGGAAATGTTCCGTGATCGACCATATGGACCCCTATGTCCTCCACGGTGCCTTGTTTAGCACTAATCCAGATGATTGGCCAAATGTAGAGCAC